TTAGGAAAGTGGATCTTGAAGACAACGAAAACTGCCAATCTTGTCATAAATGACGCATTCAACAATCTGTTGCAGACTTTGCTTCCTGTGAAATTACGACATCTTGTTGACAGTGCAACAGGAAAAAAATGTGCAGTCTATAAAGGAATCAAAACGAGAAGTGATCAGGATTCTATTGAAAAAGTTCCCTTGATCTGTTTGTCAAGTGATATTGTTCGTTTTCCCTGCAAATTAGCTCCATCAGTACGAGCTGGTGTCCAGTACAATGGCAACCATGTCATCAAGTTTTTGTTTTACCTTTCTTTTAACAGAATGAAGATTTGAACTATGCAGTACAGCTATACAACTAGTGTCTTTTGTCAATTTGCTGACCAGAGAACCTAACTTACACATACTTAAAGTACGGTAGTTGTTGTGCCATCCATGCCCGATATATATGGGTCTCGTATAAACAAAGATTTTGATTTTGACTGTTTCAAGACTACAAACTGAGACGTTACCGAGCTTTAATTAGGTATTTTTAAGGTGTTCATCGGAAGTCATCGGGGGGGGGGGGAGAATGAGTGCAAGTCGTGCTCAGGTCAAACCTCATATTTGTGATTCCCATTGGACGAGGGAATTGGATTGTGGGAAAATCAATGTTTATCAACACAGATGTCGACCATGCAGAGCGCGGCGCCCCCATCGTCCTTTAACACACAATCAGAATTTTGTTTGTCAACATCGTAGTTGAGGCTATATAAAATAACACAATTTTTGCCCGGAGTTAGTGATTTTTTACAAACGATTCATCAAATTGCTAGATGCAACTCTTTCGGCCACTTCGTTTATATGTTCTATTAAATCCACCTCTGTTTAACGATGTATATCCTGCATATTTCAAAAGCATTGTCACCAAACTTATTGTTGGGAACAGGAGCCCAACTGTCTGAAATCGACACACACAACCAACTGTACACCTCCAAATGGCATATCTGAAGACTGAAGTCTTCCGTCCTTTAATCTATTAAATTTGTGAATAGTTATAGCTTTAATTTGGGAGAGCTGACTTGCAGCCATGCCTGTTCTAGCTTGATTCATGATTAGTTCAATCAGAGTTTTAGTCAAATCCAGCTTGTGATTTATACGCTAAGCCCTACTCCAAAACACTGATGAAATATTAAAAGTTCACAAATGACCGACTTCAAAATGGAACATAATTCAAAATATGAAATTTGTAAAAA